AGCATAATTTTTATATGCCAAAAAAGGAAAACATATATTATAGTTAAATTTATTCAATTAACACAATCTACTTGTTTTTCCTTTAGTCAATAATTCAAATAACATGTCCCCAAACATTATCAAACAATTTTATACTCCATATGTGACATTTAATTAAATAATTATATTTATAATCAAATTAAGATGTAAACTAAGAATATTATAACTATGTGCTAATTAGTTATGCTTTTGAAAAATTTGAAACATTAGGGGGTACGGTGCAGGGTTATATTTTATTCATAAAATTTTTTAAAATATAATTCGTATGGTTTTTACAGCTTTAACAATATATCTATTCCTAAATAAAATTAATTTGTATCCTTTTTCAAACCAATAAATTACCTAAAATTTAAAAAACCCAAAAAAAAAAAAGTTGAGAGCCAAAAAAAATAACTAAAATGGGCTAAATGTTGATTTGATTGATGGTAAAGGAAGAGTGTGAATTTGGAAAACTTATTGTACACAGTGCTGACGTTTTCACACAGTCCTAGAATGAAATTGATTTTTTTTTATTCAAATTTTTAATGGTAGATTCAATTTTTTTGGTAAGTGTTTATCTATAGTCTAATTTAAATGGCAGTTATGAAAAATAAAAAAATAAATAAAAATACAAAAAAAGGTATTTATGACAGTTTACCATCCCCATCAATTCCTTTTTTTCTAAGACCAAAAAAAAATGTTCCTTCTCAAATTAAGAAACCCACACTTAGATACATACAAACTAATTTTCTCTCAAAATATTAATATACAAATATACTTCAACCACTATATTTTATTATCAAAAACAGTAATCTTGAGTATTATATCTTTTTCAACTTCAATAGCGAATTTGAGTGAGGGATTTCCATAGTTGTACAGTATGGAAGACCCAGCGCCGTGGTAAGTCGAAATATACTCAATTTTCGTCGATTACAAAATGTTAAATCGTTTCCGTTTTGAAATTACTTTTGAATTTCTAGGTTCAATCGTTTGTTTGTACAAATTATCAAGAAATATCTCCAAAACAATCTTCTGTAGAGTGTTTGCCAGGGGATTGTAATTTAATTTTACCTAATTAACAAAAATTAAATCTAGTAAAATTACCATATTTATCACATTGTCGCTTTGTCTCGTATATTATAACATGTACTACCATGGAAATCGATTGAAATTTAAAGTTAAAATTTTTGATTTTTTCGACATACAGTTCAGTAGAAAATGTTGTTGTCCCGCCACAAGATGATAATGATACAAAAGACACAGAGGATGCAAAAGTGGAGGAAGAAAACCAAGAAAGATTGAAGTATAATGCACCAACTATTGACGGAGAAGGGCCATGGAACAACAAAGAAGTCGACGCAAGTGGAACAGGGATAGTTTCGTAAGAAACACTACCAATTCAAGTTGTAGACAACGCCATTGTTGACACGACTTTCAACGTTTGCTTACAAACAAAATTGTTAAGTAATTGGCTTTAAGTTTTTTTGTAAACAACTTGATATATTTTCTTTTACTAAAATGAATTTTAATGTCAATTACGTAGGTAACAGAGTAATTGTTATGAATAATTTATAGCAATTAATTACATATGTAATAGCGTAATTGAGTCTATTGTGGTTTAGGTTGTTCCAGATGAATCAGATAAGGCAGATTTGACAAAAAATGAAGCTACCTCAGAAAGATCTGGAGAAGACACTGGTGGTGCAATGATAGTAGATTTACTGCTAGTTGCTCCACAAAAGGATGATGAGCCCTCCCAAGCAAGTGAAGCAACGATTATGGCCATGTAGGTATGGCTTTTAGCTTTAGATTAACAGTATTTTTTACATAATTATTTAGTATCACATGTTATATTATTACTCCTAAAATTGTATTCTGTAACTATTTGTTTAGTCTCACATATCCTTTGACAATTATTTCTATCTTATAATAGTACAAAAGGATAAAAGGCAAATGATTGTTGTTATATGTTGGATGACTATTCTAAATATTTATTTTGAATGTACAATAAATTATCATATTTCAACTATTTTAGGGACATGACAACATTCATATAGCCACTGAGAAGGGGGGAACGACAATCACCGCAAGCAAAGGCAGATATGATTACAGGAGGTCCACAATCAATTAATGCACAACAGGCTACTGTGCCCTCCCAAACAATAGATATGGGCAAGCAGGTATATTTTTTTAGCTTTACAAGTTATAGCAATTTATTACATATTTAACAGGGATTTTGGTACTGTTGTGGTTAAATTCTTAGGTTTACATTATTAGTTATAAAATTGTATTATGTTAATACAAAATGATTAATAGAAAATGATGATTGTTCTATGTTTGATGGTATAAAGATTAAAATTGTATGTTAATTTTGTAAGCTTTTTTTTATATTACAACTATTACTTTGTGCTAATTAGGGAAATATTTTTGTAGAATGATAGTAAGAGGACAGGAGATTCTGCATCGAAAGAAGGTGCATTATTGGATGATGCGCCCCCCCCCCCCCCTATAAAACAACTGATACGGCCACGCAAGTATTGTCTTTTAGCTAAAGATTAATAGTTCTTAAATTGTATCCTGCTACTATTTCTTTGTTTTGAATTTTTTTTGCTACATATAATAATACTAAATGATTTGAAGCAAATGTTGATTGTTGTATGTCTTTTCTAAAGAAGAATTTGTGATATTTACTTGTTAAATTGTGTGGTAAATGCTAAAATATATGTGTGGGTTGCATTCAGCGTGGGGGGCCAAATGAAAGCGAAGCATCTCGTGTTGTTGGTGCTCTACTAAGTGCAGCACTTATTGTATCGAAGGAAATGAGATTGGACAAGCAACTAGAAGCAAGTCAGGAAGGGAGTGGCAATAAAGGCACTCAAAAAAAGGTAAATGGCTGAACGCTTTTTGTCATAATAATTAGTTTCTTAATTAGTAACTATTATATTGTAGATGATAACAGTCACATTACACAAGGTTTCTAACACTTTAAGAGCTTTCATTTATGTGATAATAGTGTACTGTTTAGTAACAATTTACATTTTTGTAGTAACACAATGGAGAGCATTAGTAATTGTGTGTAATGTTAATAGCAACTATATTGTAAACTCTTGTTTTATTTATTAAGCTTAAAGCTTAATTTTATTCATTTGTTATACAAGGAACTGAATCCTCGCAGGTTGTTCCCGTCGACAAAACTACTTCGTCGAAGAATGATGAAAGTGTATCTGGAACAGATAAAAGTCCTTCGAATGTAAGTGAGGCATTGACCAGATACCTATAAGAGACCACATTACAATTGATTTGTAAGGTTAATTTGTTGTTTGATTGTTTAGGTGGATAAATCTCGTGGTTTAGCAGAAGGTTCAACTACTAATAAACTTTAAAGGAAACTGGGAAGACCAAAGACGAAGCCTACAAGAGAAGTAAGTTTTCAAACTTTAATATTTAAATGGTGTTCTATGAATGAATGATACTCGGATCATGATAAAAATGACATTAATACTTTACAGCGTGATAATACTTGATAGATTATTTCCTCTTCACTTTAAATGTGTGTTTTTATATATAAATGTTTATTTATTAGTAACAAGTTTCCTATTTATAGTAATGCATGAATAGTTGTTTATATTGTAGATGATAACAGTCACATTATATAAGGTTTCTACCCTTTAAGAGGTTTGATTGTATGTGATAATATTACGTTGTTTAGTAACAATATATGTTATTATAGTAACACAATATACGGCATTGGTAATTGTGTGTAATGTTAATAGCAACTTTATCATAAGCTCATGTTTTATTTATTATTCTTAGAGATCAATTTAAGTCATTTATTATACAAGTAACTAAATCCTCGCAGGCTTATGGTGTAGTAGAAGGCTCAACTTCTAATAAACCCAAAAAGAAACCTGGCAGACCAAAGATGAAGCCTACACTAGAAGTAAGGTTCCAAACTCTACTATTACAATGGTGTTGTATCCATGAATGAAACTCGGATTATGATAACAATCACATTATTACATTACTGCGTGATAATAATTGATATGTTAGTTACTACTTCGCTTTAAAGGTGTGTTTTTATATATAAATGTTTATTTATTAGTAACTAGATATATATTTAAAGTAACTTGTGAATTGTTGTGTATAGTATTAATGTTAACTCTGTTTGGATCCAACATGGCATATGTTATGGTAATTAAACTTTTCATTCATAAACATACTTTGTGATTGATATCTTCTGTGTTTTTAGGAGGCTGCTCAATCTGGGGAAGTACAAAAGCGGCCGCGTTGAAGACCGAAATAATCAGATGAACCTAAGAACTTAAGAACAAATTCAAATGTACACTTTATTTCAATCTATAATTATGACACTGCATAGTTAAAGTATATCAATTGTTAAGAGATAATTTTAATTTTTTGATTTGTTTTGGGCTTACAGTACCCGATCATTCGGTCATATCCCAAAGATGTCCGTGTTGCTGTAAAAACCATGACTAAAAAGAGGAAGAATTATGTGAAGAAAATAGTTTTCAAGACTGTTCTCAACATCAAAATGAAGCAATATGACAGGGACTTCTTGGCATATTTATACAGTCGATGGGATCCAAAAAGACAAGTGTTACGAATCAGAGACGACTATGAAATAACAATAGAAGAGGAAATGGTGGGTTGGATCACTGGACTTCCATATGGACCTCTGACTTTGAGCATTCCAGAGGTGGATGTCACCGATAAAAAATTCATAAATTTGAAAACAGTTACGAAAATTCAGGGGGTATCAGCTATGGAGTTGTCCACAACAAGTGTAGGATGCATCTATGGAAACTAAAGAATTCCTTAAACACTTTGTCCTCTGTGTTTTTGGTAATGTTTTATGCACTACAACAAGAAATAACATTAGCCCTAGCCTTTGTTGGCTCTTGAAAGACAAGTACATTTATGAAGCAAGGAGGTACAACTAGTCCAAATACATACTTGATTGGATGGTCGAGTATGGGGGAGGTGATCCTATGAAGGGGTTTAAGGGATCTCCTTTGGTTCTTGTGGTAAGTGCATCTGGTTTTTTTTTGTTAATTTTTTTACTGTAAAATTATAATGCTAAATTGTGTATGTTAAATGCAAAAATTAATTCTCTTCATGGAAACTGAATTTTGTTACACACAATATGTCGTAGATTACATACCTTGACCGTCTCAACATAGATGGTAGAGGTATGGTGTGGGACAAAAGTGTACCAAGGGTAGGGGCTTGGGAACAAGGTTTTATTGATGCAGCTATTACCGCTGATAAAGGAAAAGATGGAAATTTTGGTGCAGCTGAGGTATGACACGGGATTGTTTATTTATTATGGACCATACAAGCAAACAATATGGTATAACAACTATAGTAAGTGTGTTTATAATATTAATACATGGTGTCATAATTTTAGGTGGTGCGTGATGTCGTTTATAGACGAGACTATCCAATCGGGCCATCATTCGTGTCTCCAAAATGGTTAATAGATGTCATTTCTAGTTCTGAAGCTAGTTGATTAGGGGATTTTGCTCCCACCAATCGGAATGCGCCACGTGGGCCAATCAGGTCCTGCCAAGTGTCCCCCAGTTGGACATCTCAGGGCTTGCCACGTGGCACACGCTTATTCGTCCACCCTGGACTTATTATGTCATGACACGTGGCATACTCCATGCCTAATGGAGAAGCCGGTCACCTAGGCCCAACTTTCGAGGGAAGCCTAATCAGCCCAAGGTTAACCTAAACCTAGATTGGCACGTTTCCCGAGGTTATAAATACCTCCCTTAATCCTCATTAAGGGAGATTACGCAATAAACGCAGATTACACACATTAAACACTCTCACCTAGAGAGACCCAATCACTTTAATTTCCGCATTAATTACTCCTTAATCAAGTACTAACTTGACCGTTGGAGGCGGAGCTCCCACCACCAGGAGTCTCCGTTGTTTTGCAGGTACAGGCGTCCGGTTCCAGTCTCAGAATTGTAACTCTCCCGCAGGACATCAGAAAACTCCGAAACATTTTGGCGCCGTCTGTGGGGAGAGTACTTCTGAGATGGCACCCACGTTTGTACCGGCTCCTGAAGAGAGACGTCCCCTGGACGATCCTCTAGTTCAGTCGGACCGCAATACTGAGAATGAATTTGAAGTTGAAGCTCACACAGCTTCAGACGGGACCCTAAGGGCCCGACGTACCCGTCATACCGAAAGGAGGGAACGGGAACATCTTCAAACTAGAAGCGAGTCAGCAGGCGCACCGCCTGTTCGGCAGCAGCCGACTGATGGGTCTGCTCCCATCACAAGGGACGAACTCATGACCTTCATGAGGGACTTCAAGGGAGAAATTCAAGAGTTGATCAACAAGAAGCCGCCTGCTCTGGACAAGGAGGAGTCGGCTAAGAAACCCTCCACTTCACGGAAGAGGAAGCCAGTTCAAGAGCGAGAGGCGACCCCTCATCCTAAATCTAGGAAGTGGGAGCCACCTGCCCTTGATTTCACAAAATACCGTTTTCCTACTCCAGGAAATAGGAAACATGTTCGTCATATTCAGGCGGACGGGTCGAGGAAAACATACACAGACGCTCGGCTACTGCTAGAGCAGAAGAAGAGTGACCGATTGTCAGAGTCGGCCTTTACTTCATACTTCCAAGACAGTCTGCGAAATACCTCGATGAGGCATACTCAGTCGTATCATGAGAGTCAGTCAGGCGGTCCGGCTTTCATAGCGACCAGGCGGTACCAAACTTACTATTTGTACCGCAACAACAGTATTTTTTACAGCCACCTCCGTTTGGTGGACATGCAGCAAAAAATGTCCAACCTATGGACTGACAGCTACGGTTGCTTAGACTTGGTGAACAGCCGTCGGCCTTCTCCAAGGAAATTACTGAAGCCGCTCAGCCGGCCAAAGTGAAAAATGTATTAGTAGGCGCCTATGACGGCACTACTAACCTAGAAGACCATCTGATGGCATTCACCAACCTGATGTACCTTCAAGGGTTGGATGATCCCACTTGGTGCAAGTGTTTCCCAGCGACTCTCAAAGGAATCGCACAACAATGGTTCGGCAACCTGCCGACTGGTTGTGTAAATAACTTCAAGACGCTTGCTTACTTATTCACCTCCAACTTCGCCATGAACATCCCTGCGAAGAAGACGACCCTTGATTTAGGAACAATTCAGCAGGGCGAGAAGGAGGGCCTTCGTTCTTACATCAGGCGGTTTAACCTGATGAGAATACAGATTCAAGGGTTACCGGATGAAGTAGCCTATACTGACTTTTTCAGAGGTCTCAAAGACGGGTCGACCTTCAAATTTGATTTGGTCCGAAAGAGGGTGGCGACTCTTCAAGAGGCCTTGATTGAAGCGGAAGCCTATATCCAGGCGACTGATCTTTGTAGTACGGTAAAACAGTCAGACGGGAAAAGGTCCGACAAAAGAGAAGGACGATAGAAGCAGTCGTCAAACAAAGACGAGAAGAGAAAAGAGGTCTGGGCAACTGATTCCTCTAAACAACCGTCCCAGAAGAAGAAAAAAGAATTCAAACCATACTCCCCAAAGTATGTGTTTAACAAGGATAGCCAATTTATCCTAAAGGAAATCAAGGGACGGATCTCAATTGAGAAGCCGTTCCCCATGAAGGGTTCTGCAAACAATCGGAACCAAGAAAAATTCTGTGATTATCATGAAGATGTTGGTCATCACACCAATGAATGCATCAGTCTCATGCGGTATCTGGACCGCCTGGCTGAGCAAGGTGACCTTGACACTTATGTCAAGAAATCTACAGGGAACACTTCCTTGAAAAAGAAGTCGGCCAAAAAGAATCAACAGGCCGACAGCTCCGATACAGATGATGCAGTCGTCTACACCATTGCAGGCGGCTTCTCAAGAGGCGGCCCCACTATTAGGGGCAACAAAGACAATATCAGACGGTTAGATGTAAATTCCGTTCATCAAGAACGACCCTCCAAATATTCATTTCTTGAGATTGTCATCACTGAAGAAGATCTAGGAGGGGTAAGAGGGCCGCATGACGACCCTATCGTTATTGAATGTAAAGTGGCCAACCAGAGAGTTGGCCAAATCCTCATAGATACCGGAAGCTCCTCAGATCTCATCAGTAGCAAATATCAGACTGATTGCATACATCCGGCATCCCACCCTTTAGTAGGGTTTGGAGGAGGAGTCGTCCACCCAGTGGGACGAGTGGATTTACCCATCCGCCTGGGAGAAAAAGGGGTAGGACGACACATGGTAGTCCGGTTCCTGGTGGTAGAAGAACTCTCGGCCTACAACATGATTCTGGGACGACCAACCCTGAATAATTCCAAGGCTGTTATAATCCCATCTCTTATGTTGCTCAAGTTTGAGAGGGATAATGGAACAGTCGGGTCCCTAAGGGGAGATCAGAGGATGGCCCGAGAGTGCTATCTCTCGGATGTCAAGCCCACTATTATGGCCACTGAATCGAGAGGTGGAAAAATAGACCTTGACAATGTCAAGGAGAGTGCGCCTGTTCAAGAAGCAGGCGACAAGAAGAGAAAGGCATCCCAGACAGGGGCCGCAAGAAAAGACAGAAAATAGCAATCATTGGCAGAGGAGCGGTCAGATGAATTCCGCCCTCAGCCAGCTGGTGAGCATACGGACCTGATCTTAGATGACTCGCGTCCTAACAGAACAATCAAGGTTGGGACGACTGCTCTAAGGGACCTGGGTGACGACTTGCACAAACTATTGAAAGAATACAAGGACCTCTTTGCATTCGAAGTCCATGAAATGCCAGGCATTAGTCCTGATCTGGCGGTACATAAACTGGCCGTGGATCCGAAAAAGAAGCCGGTACGGCAGAAGAAGCGGAACCATGGCGAAGAAAGAAGTCAGGCGGCAGCCGCCGAAGTTAAAAAATTACTTGATGCAGGGTTCATTTGGCAATGTTACTTCCCAGACTGGGTTGCAAATGTGGTGCTTGTTAAAAAGCCGAATGACACCTGGAGAATGTGTGTAGACTACACAGACTTAAACAAGGCGTGCCCCAAAGACAGTTACCCTCTGCCTAAAATTGATAACCTGGTCGACTCAACAGCCGGCCATGCTTTGATGAGCTTTATGGACGCCTACTCTGGTTTCCATCAAATTCCTTTATGGAAGAAAGATCAGGAGAAGACGGCCTTCGTCACTGATCAGGGGTTATACTGTTACACGGTCATGCTGTTTGGTCTTAAGAATGCCCTGGCCACTTTCCAACGAATGATAAACACTGTGTTCTTTGATCAGATTGGGAGAAATGTCGAGGCATATATTGATGATATGATTGTCAAGTCTAAACTTCAGAAAGATCATCTGTCGGACCTCCGAGAAACTTTCGCCACACTCAGGCGGCACCATGTCATGCTCAATCCCAGGAAATGTTTCTTTGGAGTTGAGTCTGGGAAATTTCTCGGATTCCTTATCAATCAGAGAGGAATAAAGGCGAACCTTGAGAAGGTGCAGACGGTCATCGACATGCAGTCGCCTCGTACCATCCGAGAGGTTCAGAAGTTAACAGGTTGTCTGGCGGCCTTGGGAAGATTTCTAAGCCGATCAGGCGACAAATGCCTATACTTTTTCCAGGCAATTAAGAAAAAGGCAAGGTTTGAATGGGGGCCGGATGCTGAGGCGGCCTTCCAGAAATTGAAAGTTCACTTGCATTCCTTACCGAGGCTGGTCAGCCCTTTGCCCAAAGAAGTACTCTACATGTACCTGGCCGTCTCTGATCATGCGTTAAGCGCTGTTCTCCTTGCTGAAAGAGACGGCTGTCAGCTCCCGATCTACTTTTTCAGTCACGTTATGAAAAATGCCGAGTTGAGGTATCCCTTAGTGGAGAAATTTGGTCTTGCACTCTTCATGGCTGTTAAAAAAATTGAAGCCCTACTTTTTGGCACATGCAGTCGTCGTGTATACAGACCAACCTATCAAGCGGCCACTGACCATCATGGAGTCGTCAGGCCAAATGATCAAATGGGCCATAGAAATACAGAGCCTCGAAGTTACCTTCGAGCCTAGAAAAGCAGTGAAGGGGCAAGCCTTTGCTGACTTTATTGTTGAGATGACTCGTCCTCCTGACTCTCAAGTTCCAGACCAAGTCTGGAAGGTATATGTGGATGGAAGCTCTACTTCAAATGGTTGTGGAGCAGGCGTCATATGTCAGTCGCCAGAGGGCGACAGGTACGAGTATGCTCTACGCTTCAGTTTTCAGGCCTCAAACAATGAGGCAGAATATGAAGCTTTACTAGCCGGAATCCGCATGTGCAAGGCGGCAGGGGCAAG